CAGGGGCCCGAGGCCTCGGGCAGCCAGGCCCAGCCACCCTAGGCATGTCAGGGCTGAGGCCTGGTGGTCGGGAGGTCTCCGGGGCAGCATGGGCACTGTGTCCGAAGCCCCACCTCCCTCGTCCTCCTCCGTCTCTGTCTCCCTCCCTTGCTCACTCATGCTCCTGCTGCTGCAGGCCTGTGGGGAGCACTGAACAAAGCTCCCCAGGGCCTCCCTACAAGACCTTTAACCCCACCCCTGGCTGCAGCCTGTCCTCAGGCCCCAGCCAGACGCTGCACCCTGGCTAGGGAGGTCCCACCTGATGTCTGCCCCAGAGCCACACCCCCACCTGCTTCTCCTACCAGGCAACTGCAACTCCAGCTGGCCAGGCTCGAGTCTCCAGCCCCTGCCGGCTCCTGGTGCTCTGGGCAGGCCTTGCGGGGCCCTCCCCACAGGGGCCTCCTCCCTCCTTGTCCCGCCCTCCCCCTCTGCAGCTCCCCAACACAAAGGCTTCATTTCAAAGGCCTCGACTCTGCCAGCCGCCCTGGCAGTAGCTGCCACCTGGAGGCCAGGCCCCCACCCCACTTCCCAGCCCGGGTGCCGCTGCTCCCTTCATCCAAACACCTCGCCGTCCTCCACTGCGTTGCAGTGTGGATGAGAGGGCCCCTCAGGATGCTTGTGAGCCGCAGGGTGTGGGGCCTGCACACGCAGGCACTGGGAAGGCAGTGGGGCACCTCAGGCACCCTCGCATCTGAACCCAGCCATCCCGAGCAGAGGAAAGGCAGATTTTCCGGGAGGAGAACCCGTATTCCATCATTTCCAGTCAGGGACAAAACTTTTCCCAGCCACCCAAAACCCCAACCAATCTCCCCGAACGTCACTCCCGATTCTGACATTTATTTATTTATCTATCTATCTATTTATTTATTTTGAGGCGGCGTCTCACTCTGTCACCCAGGCTGGAGTGCAATGGTGCGATCTCTGCTCACTGCAACCTCCGCCTCCCAGGTTCAAACGATTCTCCTGCCTCAGCCTCCTGAGTAGCTGGGATTACAGGCGTGTGCCACCGTGCCCAGCTAATTTTTGTATTTTTAGTAGAGACGGGGTTTCAACATTTTGGCTAGGCTGGTCTCGAACTCCTGACCTTGTGATCCACCCGCCTTGGCCTCCCAAAGTTCTGGGATTACAGGCGTGAGCCACTGCGCCCTGCCGATTCTGACATTTATTTGAGACGGTCTCACTCTGTCACCCACGCTGCAGTCCAGTGGTTCAGGCACTGCTCCCTGCAGCCTCGACCTCCTGGGCTCAATCAATCCTCCCACCTCAGCCTCCTGAATAGCTGGAACTACTGGCACCTGCCACTGCGGCCTGGCTAATTTTGGTGTTTTTTGTAGAGATGGGATCTCGTCATGTTGCCCAAGCCGGTCTGGAGCTCCGGGCGATCCGCAAACCTGGGCGACCCACAGTGCCAGGATGACAGGCATTAGCCCCGTGCCTGGCGCAGTCCCTGAGGTCTGTCCGTCTCCCATGGACAGACATCAGCTCTACTGCACAGCATCAGCAGTTCCAATTCCCTTTTCTTTTCTTTTTCTTTTTCTATTTTATTTAATTAATTAATTTAATTTTTAAAGATGGGGTTTCACCATGTTGGTCAGGCTGGTCTTGAACTCCCAACCTCAGGTGATCCGCCCGCCTTGGCCTCCAAAGAGCTTGGATTACAGGCCTGAGCCACCATGCCCAGCCCCTTTTCTTTTCCTTCTTTCTTTTAAGATGGAGTTTTTATTTTTTTTTTTAAATAAGGTGAGGTTTCACCATGATAGCCAGGCTGGTCTTGAACTCCTGACCTCAGGTGATCCACCCACCTCGGCCTCCCAAAGTGTGAGGATTACAGGCATGAGCCACCACTCCCAGCCTCAAGATGGAGTTTCACTCTGTTGCCCAGGCTGGAGTGCAGTGGCATGATCTTGGCTCACTGCAACCTCTGCCTCCCAGGTTCAAGCAATTCTCCTGCCTCAGCCTCCCAAGTAGTTGGGAGTACAGGCACACACCACCACACCTGGCTAATTTTTTGTATTTTTAGTAGAAACGGGGTTTCACGATGTTAGCCAGGCTGGTCTTGAGATCCTAACGTCACATGATCTGCCCACCTCAGCCTCCCAAAGTGCTGGGATTACAGGCGGCTCAGCCACTGCACCTGGCCCAAGCTCCATCTTCATCATGAATTGACACTTAGGAGGGAGGGTGTCTGTGAGCTGAGCTGTCCCCTGTGACGACTTCTCCTAGTGGGCTCCATCCCTTCCAACACTTTCCAGGCCTCTCCAGCTCACCTGCTTCCTTCAGACATGTGAACAGGTCAGACGGTGGCACCACGTGGCATGTGGCGTCCGGCAGGGCAGCTGAGGCCTCCCTGCAGCATTGGCCAGGCCCTGTTGCCCACGGCACAGCTTCACTGTTTCCACTGGTGCCCACACGCCAAGGTCTTTAGTGCTGTGTGTTCATTTGGATAGTGATTTGGGGTTGACAAAAAAGGTTACAGCCAGGCACGGTGGCTCACACCTGTAATCCCAACACGTTGGGAGGCCAAAGAGGGTGGATCACCTGAGATCAGTAGTTTGAGACCAATCTGACCAATAACGTGAAACCTCATCTCTACTTAAAAATAAAAATAAAGGGCCGGGCGCGGTGGCTCACGCCTGTAATCCCAGCACTTTGGGAGGCCGAGGCGGGCGGATCACGAGGTCAAGAGATCGAGACCATCCTGGTCAACATGGTGAAACCCCGTCTCTACTAAAAATACAAAAAATTAGCTGGGCATGGTGGTGCGTGCCTGTAATCCCAGCTACTCGGGAGGCTGAGGCAGGAGAATTGCCTGAACCCAGGAGGCGGAGGTTGCGGTGAGCCGAGATCGCGCCATTGCACTCCAGCCTGGGTAACAAGAGCGAAACTCCGTCTCAAAAAAAAAAAAATAAATAAAATAAAAAATAAAAAAATAAAAATAAAAACAATTAGCCAAGTGTGGTAGCACGCACCTGTAGTCCCAGCTACTTGGGGGGCTGAGACAGGAGAATTGCTTGAACCCGGGAGGCAGAGATTGTAGTGAGCTGAGATCGCACCATTGCACTTCAGCCTGGGCGACAGAGCAAGACTCCATCTCAAAAATACAAATAAAAGTTTAAAAAGTTGCAAAGCCTTGCTTTCTAAGTCTCCTCACCCAGGTCCCTTGCTTCTTCACTCAACAAACACTGCTGAACTGCTACTGAGTCCCAGGGACTGCTACCAGAAAGGGGTCCAGATCCAGACCCCAAGAGAGGGTTCTTGGACCCCACACAAGAAAGAATCCGGGCAAGACCAGTGAGCAAAGGGAAAGCAAGTTTAATGGGGAAATAAAGGAATGGAAGGGCTGCCCCAGAGCAGAGCAGCGGCCGGCTGCCCCCCGAGTCCACTCATTGTTGCTTCTGGATCCTGTGCCCAACACGGTGTGGCTCATTCCTGAGTTTTCCGGGAAAGGAGCAGGCGGTTTTGGCGGGTTAGGGCCGGCTTGTTCGCGGCATCCTGTTTTATTAACGGGGTCTTTGTGGCCTGTGTCTTGTGTTGATCTTATCTTGTGACTAAGAATGCCTGACCTCCTGGGAATGCAACCCAGCAGGTCTCAGCCTCATTTTACCCAGCCCCTGTTCAAGATGGAGTTGCTCTGGTTCGAAGGCCTCTGCAGAATCACTCCAGGTTCTTTAGATTCCACGGGAAAGCGGCTGTGGCCTCGGCCCTCGGTGCCCCCCGTGTGCGGGTCCTACAGGCAGCACAGAGGCAGCTGTGGCTACCCCTGCTGCAGTGGGTCCCAGGGGAGACGGGAGTCCTGGGAGGAGCCTGCTGGGCGCCCGTACCTCTGGGAAGCCGGTGTGAGGCAGTTTCTGTGGCCTCCCTGGCCCTGATGAGTATGAGACTTTCCACGTCCCCCAGAGCTCCTCACTTCTTTCCTGGTGCCTGGGCCAGGCTGAGGCCACCTGACGCTGTATACCCAGCCACTTAGGAAAGCCCTGCCTTCTGCCTTCGGACCAGCGCCGGTCCAGCATGCTTGGGAGCCTCACAGAGCTTTCCTTCTAGAAAAGGAAGGCAGACATTTAAATAAAATAAACACATGGATACTTTCCCGTAGTGATAAATCCTGAGAACAAACTAAAACAGGGTCAGAGGAGCACGTTGCCTCAGGTCCATCGGTGGTCAGCTCTGGGAAGGTGACGGATGAGTAACCTGATGAGATTTTCGGGGCAGGGTCTGTGTGGCTGGGGTGGTGGGATGGGACCCCTGGTCCCTTGCCTGGAGACCCTTTGGGCCCTTGGAGAGGTGGCCTTCTAGGGAGTGGGGGAGGCCAGGCCAAGGCCCTCAGGAGACCCTGTCCTTGAGGACCTGGGTGGCTGAAGGGGGCTGGGTGGGAATGGGCAGGCCCTCCCGTGTCCTGTGCAGTTGCTGGAGAGCTGGGCTGCTGCAGCCGCCCCACAAGGCATGCTTCCTTCTCCTGCCTGGCCCCAGGTACTTGGAGATGGGAAGATGCCCTCAGGACCAGCCCCGCCCACCCTGCCCCAGGCCCCCAGAATCCCGCTGACCCAGGCCTTGCTCTGGCAGAGCGGCCTTTCCAGATGTAGACACACTCTAAATGTGATTCTCCCCACACTCCCTCCTGGCTCGCCCCGCCCCTGCCCAGACGTTTGTCCCTTCCCTGGCTCCAGACTTGCTCCAGTCAGCCCCCAAGGGGTTTTTGTCCCTACCACGCCAGCACCACCCTCTTCCCCAGGACGCCTGCCTGGTGTCCTTGGTGAATCTTTTGTCCTGTGTAGCATTTGCAGAAAGGGAGGCTAGAACCTTACCCTGCCCTCCTCCCCAGCCTGGAATCAGGAGGAGAGGCTGGCACCCACCTCTGTGTGGGCTTAGCCAGCAGGGACAGGAGTGAGGGTGAGGGAGGCAGCCCAAGGGTGGGCCCCCTGGAGAGGAGCACGTCGTGGCACACCCAAAGTTGTGCTTCCTGGGGGTGGCGGGATCTGAGCAGCTCTCGCCCACAGACGTGTTCCTGCTTGTCCTCCTCAACCGCCCTGGCCTTTGTTCCCCAGGACGGCGGCCGAGCTAGGGCCCTGGCAGCTAGCAGGGGAGGAAGCATGCTTGGCAGGGGCTGGTCTGAAGGCAGAAGGCAGGGCCTTCCTAAGTGGCTGGGTAAACAGTGTCAGGTGGCCTCAGCCTGTCCCGGGGACCAGCTGTGTTCTCCCACCCCCTACAAGGCTGAAGCTGCCGACTTTTAGCTTTTCAGCAGCAGATGCTCCACCCCAAAGCCTGCAGAAGGGATTTTGTGAAGAGGGTCACCAGGTTGAGCCTGGGCCAGAATCTGCCTAGAGGACCCGCAGCCAGAGCAGAGAGCTCTTGGGCCAGCCCCCTCCGGTAAGGGAGCCAAGCCCCTCTGAAGGCTAAGTGGTGATTGGAATGGGTGACTCCAGGTTGGCCTGGGACACTGGGCTGGCGCAGGTCAGAGGCCTCCAGGCTGAATGCAGATCCCTGCTACCCCAGATGGACTGCCAGAGGCCCGAGCTTAGAGAGGAGGAGGAGGAGCAGGAATGGCGGTGGATGGAGCTAGACTCCGAAGAGGCCCTGGGATCCAGGACAGAGGGGTCTAGTGTCTTCCAGGGCTGGGGGCACCTGCTCCAGGCCGTGTGGCGGGGCCCTGCAGGCCTGGTGATGAAGCTGCTGCGGGAAGGCGCCAGTGTGGAGGAGAGGTGCACCTGCACAGGGGGGTAGGGGGGTCCCTTCTGTGGGTGAAGTAGGATGGAATTCCAGCACTGAGAGGGCAGAGGGGGCCCTTCTCTGAATGGGGTGGGAGGAGGTTCTAGCGCAGGGTGGGCGGCACGGGTCCCTTCTCTGGGTGGAGCAGGACCGTGTTCCCAGCGCCGGATGGGGCAGGACGCGGGTCCGGTCAGTGGTCCACCCGGCGCCGACGCCCTTGCCCCCTCAGGGACCACGCAGGCCGGACCCCCCTCCACCTGGCCGTGCTGCGGGGCCACGCGCCCCTGGTGCGCCTCCTGCTGCGGCGCGGGGCCCCCGTGGGCGCTGCAGACCGCGCGGGGCGCACGGCGCTGCACGAGGCCGCCTGGCACGGGCACTCGCAGGTGGCGGAGCTGCTGCTGCGGCGCGGGGCGTCGGCGGCCGCGCGCTCGGGAACGGGCCTCACGCCGCTGCACCGGGCCGCCGCCCTGGGCCGCACGCTGCTGGCCGCGCGCCTGCTGGAGGCTCCGGGGCCCGCGGCGGAGGCCGAGGCGGAGGCGGAGGACGCGCGCGGCTGGACGGCGGCGCACTGGGCGGCCGCGGGCGGGCGGCTGGCGGTGCTGGAGCTGCTGGCGGCCGGCGGCGCGGGCCTGGACGGCGCCCTGCTCGTGGCGGCCTCGGCGGGGCGAGGGGCGGCGCTGCGCTTCCTCCTGGCACGCGGGGCGCGGGTGGACGCCCGGGACGGCGCGGGGGCCACGGCACTGGGTCTGGCGGCCGCTCTGGGCCGCAGGCAGGTACGTCCCGCCCTCCCGCGGCAGTGATGGGGGGGGCGCAGCGGGCCGGGCTGGGGACAGCGTCCGGGCTGGAAGGGCCTGGACGCCCGGCTGTGCCCGTCGGGTGGAGACCAGGGCAGGACCCCAGGCCCGTCCCCCGCCTTTATGCTGGTGGCAGCGACAGACTCTCCGCCAGCCCCCGGCCTGAGCCTGAGCCCCCCGCCCCCGGGCAGCGGGCAGGGTGGTGGCTGCAGAGACTTGAATTTGCTCGAAGGACCCTTAGGGGGAAAAGTGGACTTCCCAGCAGAGCCCATGCAGGCCGGCCCTGGGTTCGGTGTCCCTCACCACATGTGGAAGTGGTGCCAGCAGCGCCTGGCCATTAGGGGGACAGAAGAGGCCCAGTGGCTCTGCCCCTCACCTGCCAGGCTGATGCTGGCCCTTGCCCTCCTCTCTTGTTCCAGGACATTGAGGTGCTGCTGGGCCATGGGGCAGACCCAGGCATCAGGGACAGGCATGGTCGCTCCCCACTGCACAGGGCTGCCTCCCGGGGACACCTACCCACCGTCCAGCTGCTGGTTACCCAGGGGGCTGAGGTGGATGCACGGGACACCCTGGGCCTCACACCCCTTCACCATGCCTCTCGGGAAGGCCACATGGAGGTCGCCAGCTGCCTCCTGGACAGGGGTGCCCAGGTGGATGCTGCTGGATGGCTCCGAAAGACCCCCCTGCACCTGGCTGCAGAGCGAGGGCACAGCCCCACCGTGGTGCTTCTGCTGAGCCGAGGGGCCAGCCCCACCCTGAGGACACAGTGGGCCGAGGTGGCCCAGATGCCTGAGGGGGGCCTGCCCCAGGTGCTGCCTGAACTTCGAGGGGGTCAGAAGGAGTGTGAGGGTGTAGAGCCGACGGGCTGAGCTGGACAGCAGGCCTTGGGCCCCACGGCCCCAGCCATTTCCAGGCGCTCTGGCTGAGGCTACCTGCCTGGAGGAGACATCAGGGGAGAGTCTCCTGGAGGAGGGGGTGCGAGAAAGGGGGGGTACGTGGCTAGAGCTGCAGTCACAGGCCTTGGCTGGACCTGAGATGGCCCCTAGCTCCCAGGAGGACCATTGACCCTGCAACGCCAGCCTTCTGCACATTCCAGGAAAGGATGAGTGGTGGCAACAGATGTGACCAAAATCTGATGGCTTTCCCTCTGTCTGCAGACCGTGGCTGCTCTCTGAATGCCGGAGTGTTCCAACTGTGTTTTCTTAGATTTTGTATATGTCGCCTTGGCAACCATGAATTACACGGCCAAACTCCTGGCCACAGCTATTCCCCTCCCTGCTTCTATCTAGAGCCCATACTCTGACCCACGTCCTCATCTAACTCCTGAACAAGCCAACACTCCCCCTGCCCTGAGCTGCCCAGGGCCAAGACAGGTGACCACGGCAGCCCCCAAGCACGAAGGCCAGATGGCCGTTTTCAAGCTGGCTCATTCCGAGCTGCCCACCCCACCCTTCCTGCCCTTCCCGCAGAATCCCCAGTCAACGCTCTGGTCTTAGCTTTCCCCTCTCTCTGCCTCCTGACTAAACACAGGGACTTCTCATGTGGCCCTGCCTAGCAGGTGTCCCCACTGCTCAGGAAATACAAGTAATAGAAATCTACATCAGCTTCTCCAAGCCTCCATTCAGTCATCTCCATGAACTAGAAACCCTGCAGGTAGGCCAGTTGCATCTGTGATCCCAGCACTTCGGGAGGCCAAGGTGGGACGATCACTTGAGCTCAGGAGTTTTGAGACCACCCTGGGCAACACGGTAAAACCACTTCTCTATCAAAAATACCAAAATTGCCGGGCGCGGTGGCTCAAGCCTGTAATCCCAGCACTTTGGGAGGCCGAGGCGGGTGGATCACGAGGTCAGGAGATCGAGAACATCCTGGTCATCATGGTGAAACGCCGTCTCTACTAAAAATACAAAAAATTGGCCGGGCGCGGTGGCTCAAGCCTGTAATCCCAGCACTTTGGGAGGCCGAGGCGGGTGGATCACGAGGTCAGGAGATCGAGACCATCCTGGTCAACATGGTGAAACCCCGTCTCTACTAAAAATACAAAAAATTGGCCGGGCGCGGTGGCTCAAGCCTGTAATCCCAGCACTTTGGGAGGCCGAGGCGGGTGGATCACGAGGTCAAGAGATCGAGACCATCCTGGTCAACATGGTGAAACCCCGTCTCTACTAAAAATACAAAAAATTAGCTGGGCATGGTGGTGCGTGCCTGTAATCCCAGCTACTCAGGAGGCTGAGGCAGGAGAATCGCTTGAACCCAGGAGGCAGAGGTTGCAGTGACCCAAGATCTCACCACTGCACTCCAGCCTGGGTGAGAGTGAGACTCTATCTAAAAAAAATAAAAAAGTATAGTTTTTCCTTTCCTCTCCTCCCCTCTCCCTCCTTCTTCTTCTTTCTTCTTTCTTCTTCCTTTTTGAGATAGAGTCTTGCTCTGTCGCCCAGAACTCCTTACAACTTACAACTTACTCCTTACAACTGGGTGAGAGTGAGGCCCTATCTAAAAGGAAAAAAAAAAAAACCCAACAAATTATAGTTTTTCCTCTCTTCCTCCTCCTCCATCTCCTCCTCCTCCTTCTTCTTTCTTCTTCTTTTTTGAGATGGAGTCTTGCTCCATCACCCAGGCTGGAGCAGTGGCATGATCTCAGCTCACTGCAACTTCTGCCCCCCTGGTTCCAGTGATTCTCCTGCCTCAGCCTCCGGAGTAGCCGGGATTACAGGTGCACGCTATCACGATCAGCTGATTTTTTGTATTTTTAGTAAAGATGAGGTATCACTGTGTTAGCCAGGATGGCCTTGATCTCCTGACCCTGTGATCCGCCCGCCTCAGCCTCCCAAAGTGCTGGGGTGCTGGGATTACATGCATGAACCACCGGACTTAGGCATTTTTTTTAGAACCCACAGTCTTTATTGTGTCTGAACACTCAGCAGGCCTGAGAAACAGGGACTCCCAGGACAGAGGCAGAACGAGGTCCGCGGGCAGCCTGGTGCATGGGCATTGGAGAGGAGGCAGCCTCCCCAGCCTGCCCACCCCCCAGCAACATCATAGGCCGGACCCGGTCCAGGCCCTCAGCAACCATGGCCACAGGCTGCCAGGTGGGGAGCGGGAAGCGCCCAGACGCCAAGCAGGCCCCCACTGGCAGCTCTGCCTGCAGCCTGTCCTCCAGAAGTGGGAGCTCGCTGGGGGCCAGGAACATTCGGCAGTCCCTCAGGCTCACCTTCCGGAGATCCTTGGGGCCATGGCAGACGCTGTCTTATAGCTGGCCCTCCATGCCGCCGCGTCAGCCACGGGTTCAGCTTCTGGCCCACCCGTGGGCCGCCAGCAGGATGTGCCCTTGCCAGAGCCCAGATCCACCGTTTTTCCAGGGCGACCCTCGCAGCAGGGACAACACGTGCTCCACCTGCTGCTCGCTGACGACAACAGAGGGCACCTGTGGCCGCAACAGCCCGCGCGGGACGAGCTGGAGCAGCAGCGCCCACACCGCCTAGGCCGGGTCGTCCTGCTCCGTGGAGGCTGCCCAAGGCCCTTCCTGGCTCAGGTCCGCGACCCTCGCGACCCAGCCTGAAGCTGGCGGTGCGCCCTCTCCTTCCTGCCGGGCGCCGCAGCCTTTTTTTTCTTTTTAGCCTCCCTGCCGTGGCCAGCCTCTGCCCTCATAGCTTCCTAGTCTACCAGAGGCTCTGGAGGCTGAAAGAGGATAACAAGAGAGACCTAATGTAGGCTGGGTGAGTAGGGGAAGCCCCTCCGAGCAAGTGACATTTAATTTGAAGATTCAATAAGGAGGAAAAGTTAGATACAGAGTTGGGGAAGAGCATGACATGTTTGAGGAACTGAAGCGAGACCTGAGTGGCAGGGACAGAGTGCACAGGGGAAGCTGGGACAAGGTGAGGCTGGAGAGGCAGGCAGGGGCTGGATCGTGCTGGGTTGGAGGTCAGGATGAGAAGTTTCTATTTTATTCTGAGTACAAGTGGGAAGCCACTGGAAGACTTTAAGCACAGTGACACGATCCGATTTACATGTTTAAAAGATCGCCCTTTGCTGCTGCACAGTGAACTGGAAGCAAAGGTAGCAGTTAGGAGCCTCTGCTGGCAAGAGGTAGTGACAACCTGGCTTCGGAGGCGGTAGGATGGAGCTTTTTTTTTTTTTTTTTTTTT